CCCAATCTGTCCAAAGTAATTTTGGTTTGGATGAGATTCAATCCAAAGTCGGTCCATTGAGACCCTTAGCAGATTCGAAGTGGGTCTAGCCTCTAAAGTAGCATATGAATGTCAATGATAAGTCCACTTTATGTAGTTTTTATGCATGCTTTGAACCTAGGGATGGCAATTTTCCCCATTTCCCTGATCCTCGTGGGGATCCGCCCCAAATGGGGCGGGGATGGGGATGATTTCCCCCCCGCAGGGACGGGGATGGGGAAACTTTCATCCCCGTTAGCGGGGACGGGGAGAGCACTCCCCGCCCATGGGATCCCCACTAATATATATGTATATATGTATGTATACGTTATATATTTACACATACGTCTATATATTAATGTTTTAAAAATATGGTTGAATATGTTTGAATCTTTTTTAATAGATTATAAACTTTAATTATTTTATTTTTATTTTTTAAATAAAATAAAAAATAAAATTATTAACATTATAAAAAATTATGGGGAATGGGGATCTCTACGGGGATGGGGATGGGGAGAGGCTCCCTGTCCCCACCCCGCCCCATTGCCATTCCTATTTGAACCCTCCCATAGAAGTGGGATATTTGATTTATATAACAATAGATTTCCTCATAAAAAAAAGAAAAAAAAAATAGTAACAAGCTATTAGGTTGCATTTGGATAAACTTCAGTTTGTGCTTTTAAAGCACAAGTTGCAAGTTTAAACTTTGTAGGTTGGGGCTCAAGTGTTTTGTCTCTAGATTGTTATATATGTTATTAAAAGCAATACACTTTTTGGCTCATTTTTTGCTTCCCACAGTCCATCAAAAGCAAAAGCTTATCCAAACGGAGCCCTACTAGATAAGGATTTATATATTGTTAGATGTGGGCATTATTTTTATTTATTCAAACCGAGCCCTACTAGTACTAGTTTATGTGCCTCTTCTGTCATGATTAGAATCTTACCAAACTTTTTGTGCAAAAGGAAAAGAAAATAAAAAGAAGACAGAGTTTCTTCTCTGTCTTCTCCTCTTTTATCAAACTTTTCCTTCCCAAACAGCTTGGCATTTGCCTCCTACCACTATTTATGCAAATGTTCATCAACAGAATATGCAATTTGTGATAAAAGAAATGCTCATTGTGACATACTTTCAGGGCTTGAGAACATTCTAATAATCAAAGGTTGAATATAACGACAATTTGCGTTTCTTTTTTTGTCAAGAAAACAAATACATGATTACAAATTAAACAAATTATTTGTAATTCATATCTACATAATATGATATTGAAAGGTTCTCTGGATTTCTTTTATTTAAGAACTGATTTGTGAAATACAACAATATTTTACCATTATTGGCTCAACTGTTCAACGATATATCAGAGACTTCCATTTGCGTGGGGCTGCAAGAAATCGTATTAAGAATTTTTCCTTTATTAATGAAAATCATATAGAATATGATTCAGAGAGAGAGAGGACAAAAGACAGAATCCAATATGATTGAAAGTTGAAACCCACCTGTCATTTCGGATTTCCTTTGTCTGGTCTAAATAATTAGAAATGAAGAGCTCCCATAAAACCCCCAAATCAGGGTTGTTCAAAGTTAGAGAAGATCATTTTTAGGGTCAGAATAGGGCAAGGAATAAATCACTACTCATTAAAAGCGCAATAGTTCAAACCAAAGAATTCCAATTCTCCAAAAAGAAACCTTTAATCACCAAACGAGCAACTCTTCAAACCAAGAGTCAAGAAAAAGGTGAAAAAAAAAAAAAGGAAAACTGAATCTGATAATGAGAAGAGGAAATGTAAGCAAGCAGAATACAATAGATACAAAAGTAGTACTTTTTTAGTCCATTAATGTTGATGCCACCGATTTTTTTTTCATGGGGCTTGTTAGAGAATAAGAACCTCTTAAGCGACCTCACCTCTTATAGGTTGATTACTTCATTGAGATGGTAATAAAGCTTGTTTGATCATGTGGTTTAGTGTTCAATCCTTGTCACCCCACAATATAATTAATTAAATTTTAGCACAATAGGGCCTGTATTTATCTGTACTTAAAACCTAATAGGTTGATTACTTCATTGAGATGGTAATAAAGCTTGTTTGATCATTGGTTTAGTGTTCAATCCTTGTCACCCCACAATATAATTAATTAAATTTTAGCACAATGTATAGATAAGGCCTGTATTTAAAACCTAATAGGCGTTCACGTAAGAAGGTGTATTAGAAAATAGAAACCTATTAAAAGACCTCACCTAACATCTTAATCTTTTAAGTTGAACGATTTATTGAGAGGGTTACACAACCGGGGATAACCCATAACCCCAGTCCTGTAACAGCAAGATCTAATCCCAAGTCCACTACAATCAGCCAGATGACTTAACACATGAGCCACCCTCAGCTGGTCATTAATAATACTGCACATGTTGAAAATTACACAAGGACAAACCTGATACGTAAAGAAGAAAATTAAGTGAAGGACACTAATCAACCCTGGGAAAGGATGAATGAGTTCAGTGTCACGATGTCACCATTGGAAAAATAGCTGATGATACTCGAGTTTTCTGTTTGCACGGACATTAGTTGGAAACAGTACTTCCTCGTGATAAAGCAGTTGCTTCTAATGGTTTTCAAAACCGGATCGGACCGAACGGTCGGATCAGAAAAATTGGGAACCGGTTAGATTCATTTTCCCCAAAAACCAGATTTTCCCTTTAAAATCGTTGATTTTGGTCAACGAACTGTTGAACCGGGCAGTTAATCGCCCAACCGTTCAAATGATTTTGACTATTTTTTTAATTTTTTTATTTTTTTTATCAGAACGGTCAGACCATTCGACCCGATAACCAGACCCCTTACCGGTTCGGTCACCAGGTCGGTTTTAAAAACCATGGCTTCTATTAATTTAGTGGTGATTGGGTTGGGTGGGTCGGGTTCGGGTTGGGTCAAGGTACTTCGGGTTGGGTTGTCAAATGCTAGACCCTAACCCTAAATGCTCAGGTTAGGGTTGACCCATGGGTCAATTTGGGTCATCCCAAAAATAATTGAAATTTAAAAAAATAAAGAAAAATTACATGAAAAATGTCAAAATTAAAAGAATTAACCTTAAAATTTCAAATATAAAATAAAAAACTTGGACATTTAACAATTTAAAGAGTAGACAATAAAAAGTAAAGACTAAATAGAAAAAATGTAAGAGTGCAAACTTCTAACGATGCATAAATAATCCCAATTAGACTTGACAATCGGGTCAGTAGGTTGATCCATGACCCAACCCAACCCAGTTTTTTTTTTATTTAGAGACCCTAACCCTGTTTTTTCGGGTTAGGTTGGGTCAACTTTTTGCCAGGTCTAGTTACTAAGCAACTAAGGCTCCATTTGTTTGAACTTTGGAGTGAGAATTTCATTTGCAGTTTTGCACTGGTGTAACGTAGGAGAGTGCAAATAGATTGAGTGTAAATTTTGACCTACTTGTGCTTCAGATTTGATTTTGTTTTATTTGTTTATGAAAATCAAAATAGAAAGTAAAATGATCCCTACTTTGCATGAAGATAACAGAGGTAAGAGAGGCAAAATGATGTGATTCTCATTTTAATACAAAATATGCATTGCTGAATGCTAACAAATGCAAATGAGACAAGTGAAAATTTTGCATCAGGTAAAAATGCAAATCATAGTCACAACTCACAAGCAAATATATGCAAAAGTGCAAAACTGAACTAGAACGAAAGAGAGTTTTACGTAATGATAACTACATATACTTCATCGAATGAAATACATTATACTTAACCATTTCAAAAGAAGGAATCGATATCAATGTCTGGGGTGTTCGCCAATATGAATGGTTTTATTTTTTAAAACGAAAACTGATGCATCAGAAAATATGTACATGGCAGCTATTTTTGTTTCAGAAAACTAAACCATTCACATGGGTGAATATCCCCATAATAAACAGTTTCACAAACCAGAGTGTGTTAGGCATTGATGCTGCCCAGAGGGAAATAAAAAGGTCTTTAATGAAATAATCGGAATCAATAATTCTTTAAAAATAGGAAAAAAATTATGGCAACAAAAAATTAAAGGGGTGTTCGAAAAATGTTAGTGTGGCAGTTGTTTTTGTTTTCAAAAACAAAACCAACCATGTTGCCGAACACCTCCTAAATCCACTGGCTGTGCCAGTGGAAGCCACAGCTAGGTCTAAGTTCTACTCCAAGTATTTTGCCAATGCCAGGAGGTTCATCTTTTGGCTTGCACTTGGGCTATGTTCGATTTGTATAGGTTTCCCTATCTTTTCCTTCAAATCAAACACTACCTTAAACATTCCGAGATTTAGATTCCCCTTCCAATCTTCTCTCTTCTAATAATAAAGTCGCTGCTTTCTTCTCTCAGAAATGGATAAAAGAACAAGGGAAAGCAAACAGAACTCATCCAGTAGTAAAAGATTCTTTTTCAGGTGAAATATGTTTCCGCTGGATGATCAAAGTAAATTTCTCCTATGTATATTGATACCGAATGCCTCTACATGATCACAGCACAAAGAATAGGGCGGTTTACTGAAGATTAAATCCACTGCCATAATAAAATGCTTAACAAGTGATTTTCCTCTCAACCTAAAATAATACAAGCAATGTTGCAAAGCATGCTCCCTTCAAACAAATTTCAGTCTGGTATAACAAAAAAGCAAAACCAACAAGAACATGATGATACAAATCTAAAGTAGTCCTTTTCCCCATATTCCAAATTTTTCAGATATTCAAACAAGTGTTTGGATTTCCTTTGTATTCCAAAAGCTTACACCCTGGTTTTCCTTTGAACAGTAATTCCCAAAGCTCGATTTCTCTTTATTCATAAACCCTATGCCAATCCATTCACATATTCTACCAGAAACAAATACTCTAATTCGGCAACAGCTGCCCCCTTGCAAGAAAACCACTTTTAAGAGGTTCAGACTAAAATGTATGAGAAAAATACCTCTGTTAAGAACCAATTGAGTTTGTTAAACATTGAATCAAAAACAATTCCAACTAATTTCAATTATCAAATCATCGACCCTGTTTTGGGACATGAAATACTCTGCATTTTATGCAATTACATGCTCAGATTTGATTTTCAGATATGAAGTTAGGTGCTCAAATTTTGTTAAACTTATAGATATGAAATTACATACTCAAAATTGATTTCCCATCATCTTTTACAACTTCTGTTGACCATAGTTGAGTTCTTGGATTTTCCCCTGAAGAAAAAAAAAAAAAACATTTTTGCCCATAGACATCCTCCTCTTGGTGTTGTCATCTCTCTGCATCTTTGCCCTCATTTCTTCTCTCCACAGCCTATTACTGAATACTGATCAACTTTGCATGGAAGTTGCAGCAGCCATGGCATGTGAGTGTCATTTCAATTCAAGCATCTACATGATGACTGAAGATTTTCAGAAGGAAGGAATGCATGAAATATCAAGGAAGAATGAAGTAAAGTACACCAACCATTCTCTTGTTCCTGCAGAAACATCAAAAAATCAAAATCAACAACCGAATACACTTGGCTGATCAGCGGCTGGATCTTGACACGTCACTTGGACGGGCTGGTCAAATGTTGAATGTCAGACACATCAATTAGATAAGATCAAAAGTCGTACTTGGCATACCACTCATGGAGCCAGATCAAAGATTTGCATTGGAATCTAGCATCATTGATGCAGTGCCTCATTTTTTTCATGCAAATTTGGGTTAGAGTGAGGTGAAGACAGAATTCCATCACAAGTCAGTGAAACCCACCGACTTTAGCAGCTGGGTCACTGGCACTTTCTTTGTTTCTTTAAATAAACTGTAACTTCATTATTACTTAATAAGATACCTACTTGAGTTAATGGTGATTTGGTTGAATTAATTCTTAAATTAATAAGGAAGTACTTCAAAATAGAAAACAGAAGAAACATAGAAAATAGAGATAGCATGTAAAAGATTAAAGAAAATTTTGAAAAGATGCTCTCTAATTGTTTGTAGAATATGTAGAAGGTCTTTTCATAATATATGAATAGGCAATTCCTAGTCTAATATTACAAAATATCATTATCATCACCATCCAAGCCTTGTCCCAACTATATGGGGTTGGCTAATATTACATACTATGAACATTGGAAAAAAAAATTAGGTGCATATCACTTATGATGTATGACCATTTGAAAAGGAAAAAAAATGAGGTAAAACCCCTCATTGTTCAAAACACCCTACAAAAATTGTTTAAATATGGATTACATACCTAAGTTAGGCCACGTTGACAAACTTCATATATAAGTTAAAGTTAGGGAAGGGCCACGTCAAGTATATGTGGGACCTGTATCAATTAGAATCCAGCATGAATTAATCTTCCAGCACAAATAAAACGTAGGGAGGCACTAGCACACTAAAGCAACGCATCTGGAAAGATCATCCTTGCTTCAAGGTGGGCTAGGTTTGGGCCAAGCCATATGGATTAGTATGCCTATGCTAGGCCACATTGATAAATTTCATACAAGTCAGGGAAGGGCCAGGTCAAGTATGTGTAGGACATATATCTGTTAAGTCCAGCATGAATTCAACTTGCAGCCCTATTAAAACCTATAGTACACTAAAACATCTGGCCAAACTATCTCTGCTTAAGTTGGGCTGGGTTTGAGCTGACTCAACCCAACATGCAGCTACATGTTTTCTATTTATATTTGGGTTCGACTATGATGCCAGAAAGACATGATACCAGAAAAACTTATAACCAATCAACCGGCATCATAGAAGTGATAATCAATCAGATGGGTTTTCATCAGAATTCATGGGGGGTTTTGATTGGTCAAAGATTTTCACATATCATGTCTTTCCAGGTTTACCATTATTAAAAATGCAAGGATATAAAATCGGGTATGTACACTTACAAAAGAGGGGGTTTACAAAAGCATTCAATTTATATTTAAAAACCAGGAAACTCAAAAAGATTGGCAGGGCTCCTATGTTAATCTAGATCCAAACTCATCTGAGTTTCTCTGCTGTACTGATCTCATCAAATTAGTATCTTAAAACAAGAAATAAAACAATATATATAAAGGGTTTATGTTTTGATTGGAAAATAAAAGCCCTTGACTATTTAATCTAGAGGATGTTGTTTATAACATTTCCTTTTCTTCTAAGAACTGTGCTAATCAAAATCCAGACAAAGACTCATGCTGAGCAAAACTTTCTTCATCTTCATCCTCTCTCTCTCTATACATCATTATTGTCAGTGGAAGGTTAAGCTTTGACACAAAAACAATCAGTGCATAAGGACCTCAATATAATCTAACGTTGGAGCATAGATTTTGCTACTACCCTAGATCAAGAACAAGGGTATTTGGTTTTATACTAAACAACACCAAGAAGTTGGAATGGAGATTTGGTTTAGTTAGAACTATGATGATCTCAATCAACTTCTTGAAGACATCTAATTGTACATTTCTTGTAAAAATTTTAAGTTTCTTAAATGGAAGAGATCCAAACAAAAATGGAAAGTAACTTGATCCCCTTCCTCTCTAGTTAATTCTGTTGTGGATGCATTCGTTGGGAAGAAATACCGCCGCAGGCAGCAGCAACAGCAGTGACAAGGTGTCCACGTAGAAGTCCACGTAGGATTAGGCCGCAGCTCACTTTATCTTATCTTTCACAGTTATCTTATTTGTTTTTCTCATTTATATAGTCCAATAAGGTTTAGTAGGGAGTCTTATAGTAGGAGTTTGACTTATCTAGGGAGTCTTATCCTTCTCAAGATAGGGATCTTATCTGTAAGAAGTCGAATCCAATAAGGAGTATCCTACCTCTTGTAATCTCCTATTTAAGGAGCTGGAATTAAAGAATAAAGCATCAAATTTTCGATCAAGGAGTAAGGAGAGTTAGGGTGATCTCTTGAACAAATCACCCTCCCCCCCTAGGTCGCCACGATAGGGTCTGCACGTAAGGGAAGGAGCAAGGGGAAACTAGAGGTTCTCCCCGTGGACCGACCCGTGACGCGATCCTACGCCCGGGCCTAACATCTTGGTATCAGAGCCTACCGTCATGGGAGATCTGGAACAGCTATCATCTAGGGTCCACGAACTGGAGCATAGGCTCGTGGAAACCAGCGTGGAGGTTCGTGAGGTCAAAGACGATGTCCGGGAGCTACGACGCTTGCTGGAATCGTATTTCTCTAACAAGGAAAGGAACTCTGAGGGAACCGCCACCACCAACAGCTGCCGACCAGAGTAGGCAGAGACGTCCGGCGAACAATAGACCGCCGTCCCAGCAGCCGCAGTTGTTCCCAAGTATAGCCGGCTAGAATTTTCGTCTTACAACAGCATCGGAGATCCACTGGGATGGTTATATCGCTGCGAACAGTTCTTTCGTAACCAGCGCACGGATGACAGAGACAAGGTCAGTCTGGCCGCTTTCCACCTAATGGAAGAGGCACAACTCTGGTTCTACCGTCTGGAGCAGGAAGAACCCGGGCTTAGTTGGGGACAGTTTAAATCCTGCAACCCGCTGAGCGAATTGATTAACCTCAAGCAAACTAGAACCGTGGTTGAATACCAGCGCCAGTTTCAAACCCTTCTCGCAGCGAACAGTTCACCGCAGGGTTAGCAGAACCCCTAAGGGTGGACGTGGAGATGCAACAACCTCCCAACCTGGTCACAGCCATGAACCTAGCACGCGCCTTCGAACCCAAACTGCAGCTCACCCGCGGGACCTTCAGTGTGGGTCGGCCGGCGATGACCTGGGCACCTCCGAAGACAACCGGAGTGTCCCCTTCTTCGGCAGCCAGCAGGGAACGAAGGTCTCCTACCGGGAACACTCCCAGGACGGCATCAAGCATGGGGAGCAGCATGACAGCACCACCCATTAGACGGTTGTCCCGAGCCGAGATGGCAGAGCGTCGCGCAAGGGGGTAGTGCTTTAACTGCGATGATCTGTATTTCGCCTGACACAGATGCAAGAGACTATTTTGTCTTTTGGTAGACGAACAGGAAGAGGACGAGGATGAACCCGCAACATCAGAACCCGAGATCTCCCTTCACGCAATCACGGGGATAAAAACCTCACAGACCATGCAATTGAGGGCGCAGGTAGCAGGGGAACCAGTATGCATCCTCGTTGACTCAGGAAACACGCACAACTTTGTCAGTGAGCAGGCTGCCCGCCAGTTAGAATTACCTATGGAAATCAGGCCACAACTACAGGTAGCCGTAGCAAACGGGGAAAGAGTTCAGCCCTGGAATCTGCAAGAACACCAAAATTCAGGTCGAATCAGAATCCTTCTTTGCTGATCTATTTGTGCTATCCTTAGATGAGTTCGACATCGTCCTAGGAGTCAAGTGGCTAATCACTCTAGGGCCAATCTTATGGGATTTCAGCGCCCTAACAATGACATTCCACCTGAATGGAAAACCAATTACCTGGCAGGGAACCAGGATAAGGGCAAAAACGCAGTTGCATACACTTTAGGGCGAGAGTATGCGCACAGCAGATATGGAGAGGCTCCTCACGGATTTCTCTGCTATATTCCAAGAACCCAAGGGGCTTCCACCCTCCAGAGCTTGCGATCATCGGATCCCTCTGATAACCGGATCAGATCCCGTCGTCGTCCGGCCCTATCGCTACCCACACCGACAGAAGGATGAAATAGAAAGGCAGTGTGCGGATATGATGCAGCAGGGAATCATTCGTCATAGTCGCTCCCCCTTCTCCTCGCCGATTCTGTTGGTACCCAAGCAAGATGGGACTTGGAGATTTTGTGGACTACAGAGAGCTTAACAACCAGACAGTCAAGGATAAATTTCCTATCCCCGTCGTAGATGAGCTATTGGACGAACTCCATGGCGCCCAATACTTCTCAAAATTAGACCTCCGGTCGGGCTACTTCCAGGTCCGGATGACTTCCGAAGATGTGGAGAAAACGGCCTTCAGAACACATCATGGCCATTTTGAATTCCTAGTTATGCCATTTGGCCTCACCAACGCTCCTTCCACGTTCCAGTCTCTGATGAACGAGGTATTTCAATCACACCTCCGCAGATTTGTCTTAGTATTTTTTTATGACATCCTAGTCTACAGCAAGTCATGGGTAGAACACGTATAGCATCTGTGGACCGTTTTTTAACTCCTTCGCCAACACAAACTCTTCCTTAAGCGATCCAAATGCTCCTTTGGGGAACGTCGGGTCCTTTACTTAGGACATGTGATCAACGGGCAAGGGGTCACGGTGGATGACTCCAAGATTCAGGCTATCAAAGAATGGCCCAAACCACAATCCGCCAAGGCTCTCCACGGGTTCCTAGGGTTGACGGGTTACTACCGCAAGTTTGTACAAAATTATGGACTTTTGGCGGCCCCACTAACCAATCTGCTCAAGAAAAATGCCTTCCATTGGGATAATGCAGCCAATGCAGCCTTTGCGAGTTTAAGAGAAGCCCTCTCCTCCACGCCAGTCCTGTAGTTGCCAAACTTTGATCTCGAGTTCACAGTCGAATACGATGCATCCGGCACCGGCATAGGCGCCATACTATAGCAACAAGGGCACCCGGTCACCTTCTTCAGCCGCAAACTGGCTGACCGCCATCTTAAATTACCCGCCTACGAACGCAAACTGATTGGGTTGGCCAAGGCAATGCAACACTGGAGGCCATACTTATGGGGAAGGTCCTTCGTCGTCAAGACGGACCACTACAGCCTCAAATATTTGTTGGAACAACGGCTTACCACTTCGCTGCAACAGCATTGGGTCAGCAAACTGCTTGGTTTTGATTTTCGGGTGGACTACAAGGCGGGATCCTTAAACCGTGTCGCAGATGCCTTGTCTCGCCGGGAAGAAGACAATATGCTCCTTCATGCAATTTCACAACCCCAAGTCACCCTACTGGAAGACATTCAAAACACGCTACCACAATCACCGGAGTGGAAAGACCTTGTTCAGAAGATACAGTCCGGGAAAACCGACTCCAATTGGTCCATTCACAACGGGCTAGTACTTTACAAAGGACGTATATACCTCTCGGCCGATTCTTCCTCAATCCCCGCAATCATCTCCGGTATACATAACTCCACTCACGAGGGCATCCAAAAGACATTGCATCGTGTCCAAGCGGATTTCCATTGGCCATGAATGAAAACTTCTATCCGGGACTTCATCAACAACTGCTCCACGTGCCAACAACATAAATGTGAGAACCTACATCCAACCGGCCTTCTTCAGCCCCTCTCAATTCCTACGCAGATTTGGGCGGATATATCCATGGATTTCATTGAGGGACTACCCAAGGTGGGAGGGAAGTCAGTTCTATTCGTTGTGGTAGATCGCTTCTCTAAATATGCCCACTTCATCCCTATGGCACACCCATACAATGCCATTTCAGTCGCCCACGTTTTCTTTACACATATTTTCCGTCTACATGGGTTACCGGAATCCATCGTCAGTGACAGGGACCCCGTTTTTACCAGTACCTTCTGGAAGGAACTGTTCCGATTACATGGAATGACCTTGGCCTTCTCCTCCGCCTACCATCCTCAGACAGACGGCCAAACGGAAGCAGTCAACCGCACGATCGAAATGTACCTCCGCTGTTTTGTAGGAGACCGACCGCGACAGTGGGTGGATTGGCTCCCCTGGGCTGAATACTGTTACAACACGGCCTATCATTCGTCCCTGGGCATGACACCCTTCCGAGTAGTCTATGGCCGAGATCCTCCTCGCTTGCTATCATACGAGCCCGGATCGACTCGACTGGACAAGATTGACCGTTCCCTCTAGGAATGCGATGCCCTCCTGGCTGAAGTCTCTCTCCGCCTGCAACAAGCGCAGTTACGCATGAAGCACACCTATGACCAGCATCGACGGGAACTAACGTTTGAACCGGGTTAGTTTGTGTGGTTAAAGCTCCATCCCTACCGACAACGTTCCCTCCAGGAACGTGATGCCCTCCTGGCTGAAGTCTCTGTTCGCCTGCAACAAGCGCAGTTACGCATGAAGCACACCTATGACCAGCATCGACGGGAACTATCGTTTGAACAGGGTCAGTTTGTGTGGTTGAAGCTCCAGCCCTACTGACAACGATCCTTGAGACAGCGGGCTGCTCCCAAACTAGCTCCTAAATTTCATGGACCATTCAAGGTTTTACGGCGGATCGGCCCAATTGCATACCAGCTCGAGCTACCGGCGAACAGCAGAATCCATGATATCTTTCACGTTTCCTTGCTCAAGCCATTCACAGAAGATCCACCGAATTAGGTACCCTCTCTGCCGCCCCTCAAAGACGGCAAGCTCATCCTCCAACCCCGGGCCTTCGTCCGCTCCAGAATCAATCGAGGTGTCCTCGAGGTCCTTGTGGAATGGGACAACTTACCATCAGCCGAAGCCACCTGGATGCCCTTCACTGAACTACGGGACACATATCCCGATCTCGAGCTTGAGGACAAGCTCGTAGTTCTAGAGGGATGTAATGTTGTGGATGCATTCATTGGGAAGAAATACTGCCGCAGGCAACAGCAACAGCAGTGACAAGGTGTCCACGTAGGATTAGGCCACAGCTCACTTTATCTTATCTTTCACAATTATCTTATTTGTTTTTCTCATTTATATAGTCCAATAAGGTTTAGTAGGGAGTCTTAAAGTAGGAGTTTGACTTATCTAGGGAGTCTTATCCTTCTCAAGATAGGAATCTTATCTGTAAGAAGTCGAATCCAATAAGGAGTATCCCTACCTCTTGTAATCTCCTATTTAAGGAGCTGGAATTAAAGAATAAAGCATCAAATTTTCGGTCAAGGAAGGAGTAAGGAGAGTTAGGGTGATCTCTTGAAAAAATCACCCTCCCCCCCTAGGTCGCCACGATAGGGTCTGCACGTAAGGGAAGGAGCAAGGGGAAACTAGAGGTTCTCCCCGTGGACCAACCCGTGACGCGATCCTACGCCTAGGCCCATAACAAATTCCATCTTAGATCTCCATTTAGTTATGATTTTTTTATCAGCAATACAGAAAAGGATTCATTGAAATTAAATAAAATAGGACTTCATCCTTTATATTTTTAATAATTGCAATTACCTTTTAATTTTTAATACATTTTATTATTTTGGTTGATCTGGATCATCTATTCCAGCCAATCTAATAACCTAGTTTGATGATTCAATGGTCTGAATTGTTGAGTCTAAGTTTTAATAAGATCAGCATCTGGCCAAGTATTGTATCAAGTTGATCCAAAGTGATTTGAACCACATCATTTCACTTTCAAACACTAATATATACATATTAAAAGCTAGAGACAGACAGAAATATAGAGAAAGGTAAAGGTTTACCTGCTATTGCAGCCCCAATTGAATTTCCTAATTGAAATGCCATGAACAGCAACCAATATCTTCACAGAAAATTTTCTCAATTAATGCTTGAATAAGCCACCGAACCTAGCCATGGCCACAAGGCTATAACATTAGATTTATAATCTACCTATTTAAGAAAAAAAAATGTCACGGAGATAGAAGAATGTCGCTGCCTTTCTACTATACAAAATATAACTCAGTTTGAGGCTTATATAGACTGTAAGAATGAGATGCATTAAATCAAATTTAATTTTCGTTGTTGGAAGAGCTTATCCTGACACTTATAAATAGAAAACCCTCACTTAAGAGATCAAGTCAAAGGACAACATTGCCATTTTAGTTGAGAAGGATAAGATACTATTTAATATACGAGATATGCTATTCAATTAGTTAAATTTCAAATTTAAAGAAAGAAAAAAAATAAGCAGACAATTCCTAGCTTATTTCCTGACTGAAACACCCCTACTTCTGAATTTGGTTCCTCTCTATTAACTCCTATATTTAAGGCATTTTTACTTTTTTCTTGCTAAAATATGTAAGACATTTTTTGTTTCTCATCATTAAATTCCACTAATTAATTCTATAGCCCATGATTTTAATGGTATAAAACTAATGTTTTTAAAACTGAGCCCCAAATAAAACTGTCTTTCCATCCTAGTGGCATGTCGATGGCTCAACTGTCTAGGTCAAATGGATCAACCCATGACATCATAATTAAATAATAAAAATTGAGAACTAGATAAAATATAAAAAATACAAAATACAAAAAAAAAATGTAGGAAAATTTTGGGCACATCTCTAGTATTATATATTCATCATATTAAACAAAAATAAGTTTGGTAAACAACAATGTTTTATTAATGATGGAAATGGAATACAAAAAAGTCAAAAAAGAGAACTAATGTCTAATTCATGACTCTAGGTCAAACAGGTCAATGAGATGGGTCACTAGTCATTCATCAAGTCAAAAGTTTTTGCAAGTAATTTGGTGAAATGGACACAGAATCATGGTTGGTGAAGAGTTCGCTGGTTAAATCAGCTAATTTGACCACAGGTTGAAAACACTGAATAAAAAAAAAAAAAACTAATGTTTTAAAACCATTTGGAACTGCATTTCCCTCCAGGTGGTAGGTCAACAGTTCAACTATCTGGGTCAAATGAGTCAATGTCATAAATTAGAAAAAGTCGTTCCAAATGTAAGTCCCAACTATTTGGGGTGTTGGGAGGGGTAGATTGGACAGAGTCCTAACCTTTGGTATATTTTGCACAAAGTGGCCATTCTCAAACTCAAACCCATGTTCTCCCGCTTGCCAGCCCAACATTTTACCATTATACCAAATAATGGCCCCTAATTTTCATACAGAAAATCACCCAATATGATGTCATAAATTAAATAAATAAATAGAAAACATACAAAAAACAATATAAAAATTTTCACAAGTTTTGTAGAAAAATTGGGCATGTCTCTAATATTATATATTCATCATATTAAACAAAAAAAAATGTGTGATAAATGAGAACTGTTGTTATTAATGATGGAAATGGCTAAATATACAAAAACAAAAAAAAAAGAATATAATTAATATCTAACCAATGACCCGTTGGATGGGTCAAACAAGTTATTGTTTAAACTAGTCAAGTTATCGGGTTAGTGACCAAGTCAACAGTTTTTTGCAAAGAAGTGGTTTTGGATGAACCAGAGCCAAAAATCTGGCCAGGTGACAAGTCAATTGGTCTGACTATCCAGTTCAACCAAGGATCGAAACATTGATAAAAACTACATGTAGGAATATTTAAATTTGGGTATTTAGGTTGGAAAGCAACAAATCCAGCACTACACCACGCTTCAATTACTTGTCTTTGTCATCATCTAAAATCACCATGTACATCAAACGTGCACATTTACTGGTGGGGTGTGGGGAGAAAAGATAGCCTGGCCCGAATTGAATTACAAGTAAGATCTTCATGGTATATGTCCATATTTGATTCATTTGCATATGCAGATTGGATCTTGAAGGAAAATACATATAAAGAGACAACTAGAACCATATATTATCCAGACTTGGTCAGATTTAGATTTTCGGACTTAGGGTTGTATGAAATTTTAGATGCGGATAACTGTTTCCCATCAAAGATAAAAAAAAAAAAAAAAAAAAAAAAAAAAAAAAAGATTTGGATCTTTATGATTATAGAAACCCAGTAATACAATAAGGAGTGGAGAGCTTCATGGATCTTGCCTGCTTCATTTTGTGCCTGGTTGAGCCTCTTTGTTTTCCTCTATTTTACATGTGAATAGACTAATGTTCTGAAACCAATATAGAGTGGATGGCAAAACTCTACAAATTGTCAAATAAGCCCAAAACTGGATCTATTTGGGATAGTTTCTAGCTAACTTATATGCCAATATAAATAATTCCATGTACAGAACATGTCGGCCTGATAAGGGCTGGGGTTTCCTTTTTATGGAAGGGTTGATAACTGATAAGTGTTGGCATCACCCCAGTTCACCCTTATGGAGGTTGCCAATAATCCCCAACCCTTATGTTTGCATAAGGGCTGGAGTTTCCTTTTTTTCATTGACGGGTTGATAAATGCCACCCCAGTTCACCCTCATGGTAGTTGCCAATAATCTCCATATTTGTGCAACCCATCTCTTTTTAATAGAATGTTTGCATGAAAACCTTCTTGGAGTGACCAACCAATCCAGAAACTACACCTCAATTCGGTTTCACTTCAACAACCATCAGTTCTCTGTTGTATTCAAAATACAAGTATTTGGTTCATTATTGATCTATGCTCATAAACTTGGATTTGTACTTTGAAATTGATTATAAGCTTATGGGTTTTGAACTCAGCACTGCTAATGAATGGCAAATTCACTATTTTATCGAAGGTGGAGTTTGGTTGTCAAACTGAGAGGCAATTGAATTATTCAAATGGGTTTGAACGTTGATACAAGTAATGATCACCATGGATAACAGTTGCTTGTAAAGGTTCTTGACATCCAGTGAAATGCTGATACAATCTTCTTTGATGTGGATGGCACTGTCTGCCTTGGAGTTGGAAAGACTTCTGTGCAGTTGACTGCCAGTTTTCAAGTCTTCTAGTTGTTTCAAATAAATAAGTTCTAGGTTTTCTAATTTTGAAGAATGAGCAATTTGATGTCTTATTTTTCAGGGGTGATGGGTGGCTCTGTTCCTTTTGAAGATGCTCTTGCTGCTGGGCTCTTTTTTTTAATCCATCCCCTGCTCCAAATCAAAGATTTCCTTAAGAAGAAACTTCCTAGGTGTGTGAGCTTCTTCTTATGTTTGTATTGCTTTCTACATCTCAGGTATCTATTGTGTTGCTTTCTATAAATTTTGAACCCAAAAAAGGTGAATTTTTCTATACCAAAAACTTAATTATACCAGTTTAGACTCTGTTGCTGTCCCTGCACATCTTACCAGTAACAGTCCTATATTTGTCACTTCAGTGCAAAAAAAAAAAAAGTCCTTTGTTTTGTAAGTAGATAATATGAGAGTTCTGACATTGGGCTATGGAAGGCATCCGAATCTGGAATATTTAATAATGGATATGGCACTTAAAAACCCCATATAGTTGAGACAAGGCCTAGATGTTGATGATGATCTTTTTGTAAGGCTCTGGAGAGGTTTAGCATTGATAGATTTCCTTGCAAATGGATTTGGAAGCCTCACATCCTTCAAAGTAATTTCCTCATGTTGAATACAATGGCAAAAAAAAATCCTCACTGTTGATCATCTTTTATCCAAAGGGATGATTTTGGACAACATATGTCGTCTCTGGAGTCAGGATTTGGAATCAGTCCAGCAATATAATGATCCACTGTATCTTTCCTTATGCCATCTGGATGCAATTCCTTGAACTCTTCAATAGACAGTGAGTGGCTCTGGAAAATCTTCATAAACAGGTATCTTCATGGCCAGTTGCTTAATTCTGCAAACATGGTAGAATATTGCGGAATTTGTTACCATTTGCTCTATGTTGGGCCATTTGGAAAGAAGGCAAAAGTAAGATATTAGAAGGGAAACTTGCAACCAAGGAGGTGATCATTGAGAGAGTAGAACAATCTCTTGTGCATTGGGTGAGCATCCTAAAGGAATTTTGTTGTCTCACATAATATTATTACAGAAATCAACAGTCAAATTTTATTTATTCTTCTTTTACTGTTTAAGGGGAGAGTATTCTTGTATCTGTTTCCCAATATGGAATGATTTTAGTTAATTTGTATTAATTCTTCTGGCTTTGAGGGAATTATTCCCTCTATTAATACATATCAAGAAAAATTATAAGAGCTTCCACCTTTTATTTGAGATGAAAGATAACTGATTGTATTACAAAACAGAAATAGAAAGGTATATGAGATGATGTACAAGGAAGCAACAACACACTACTCAAGATTTACACAGGCAAAATTCTATCACTATATAAAGCTTCCCCAAGGGCACTTGATTTGGCCAATCCATCAGCTGTTGCATTTAACTCCCTACGAATCCAATTGAAGTTTCAAGGAACTCAAAATGTCTCTAGCCTCGGCTAGAACCACTATTCTTCCCCACTAACCAGTTAAAATGTACATCATTGATCAATATAAATTAAGCAGCGTTAAAATGTACATCATTGAACTGTCAAAACTAGACAGGTCTCATCGTTTACGCTGAGGAATTTTGATACTGCTATACTTGTTAATTTCCGGTACGTGCCCATTACTTTCTGATCTGAATGGTCTAATTGATGGTTGCTCTTAACAGACCAGCTAGAACCAGAGCTGATATCTTCCTACCTTTTCAATTGTAGATGTTTTTGGACAAATTACATTTTCTTTTTTGAGAAAAGAAAAAGTATTTAGTGACAAAGGAAAGCAATCTTATTCATTAATAAAGGGAAACATTTAGATGAGTAGTAGAAGTATCAACCAGCTTATATACAGTGAGTGATTGTGCACACAAAAAAATGCCAGCGAACGTACCAAACAAAAAATAATCTAAACAAAAAAAAAATGTTCACAGAAAACATGGATTGAAGGAATAAGGAACATCCCTGAATGTTTTTAGCACCGAGAACCAGGAGATAGACTTGGCAATTGCCCTCAGAAATTGATATTCTTGAACGGATGTACTGTAACTAAAAAAACCCTCGAATTACACAAAGTCCACATGAGAGAAAATACCAATCTCATGAAGCGCCCGGGGAAGCACGAACTCACTTTAAGCCGGTGAAGAATAGCTAATCTTGTAACTCACTCAAATGAGACTCAACGATGAATAAATCTGTAGGAATGGGTAACCGCCGGCGGGAAAACTTTGGCTGTTTGCATAAAACGAAATCGCATCAGCGTCCCCACTGGGCGCGCCTAACATGTTCGGCTTGGATCAGACAAAGCCCGTTCGAACAGTCTTTAGAGAGTTCGGCTTCGGTCAGTGAAAAGCCGGTTCAAACAGCGTTTACAGCCTTGCATTAAAAATATTTCCGTGCGAGATACTAATGTAAAGTTGCGAGAGGCTGTTTCAACAGTGTGAGTACGGGCTTGCACTGACTGAAGCCGATCTCGTCTTTAGAGCCTTATATTTGAGAATATCCAACTATCCCAAGAGTTCGGCTTCTGTAGGCCAATGTCCGTTCAAACAACCTTTACAATCTTGTATTGGGAATGTCTTCGTATTTTTGTGCTTTATTTTTTATTGAGTGTGATCAGGCTGCTCCCAACTGGAGGTGATCTGACTTCCAAACGGACAATGGATTGAACCTACAAAGATATCAGAGAATCTTGGGATGCTAACCCAACGAGGTTGCTCCAATGCTTAAGTCAATAGGCTGGTAGCGAGTTGAAACTGCTTGAAAATGAGAGAGCTTGAGAGTAGAAAATCATGCATACCTTGCACCCCGGGGGGTGAAGCCTTTATATAGTGGAGTCCTCGCGGGTTTCGTGGAGTGGTTCCGAAATCCTCGACACGATGAGGTCCGTTTTCGCGATAATGGGGATAACTGATGGGGCTTATCGAGTCTGCCCGATTCGGTCGGGGAAGATAATGCTAGCTATTACACAGCATGATCTCGCGAGGCCCGGAGCCTGGTGGTGAGATCTTCGGGGCTGCCACATAGCAGCTAGCATTATCTTCACCCCCCTGGGGTGCAAGGTATGTGTGATTTAGTCTGTCGTCGGGTTAGCATCCCGGGGTTCTCTAATATCTTTGCAGGTTTAGTCTGTCGTCCGTCTAGAAGCCAGGTCACCTCCAGCTGGGAGTAGCCAGATCGCACTCAATCAATTGGCGTCGTCTGTGGGAACCGCTACTAAAAGCCTCTTTCCACCAAAAATCTCGAACTCATAATCAATGGCATCCTCCAGCAATGTCGGACAGAAACGGTGAAGTGAACGTCTCCGGGGTGTAGCCTCAGATCCCGACTGTGTGCACCGGTCAGTTCACCACCGCTCTCCACGGGTAGGATCCCAACGCTGACTATGCCTCAAGCAACTGTGCCCGTGAATGCCCCACTTCCTCCTGTAGTGGGTGTGACGTTTGCTGAACCAACTGTGGTTCCCCCTGGAGTTGGACAGAATCAGCTTGACGACCTGGTACACTACGTGCGGGCTATTCAAACCCAAATGCAACAGGTCTAGCAATTTCAACACTACCAACAACAAGTTTTGCACCACATCTACTAGCAACAGTTCTCACCGCTGCAGTAGAATCAATAGCCAGTTCCACCTCGGCATCCGGCAACACAGCAGAACAAGTCTCGCTGTCATAACACTCGCCCTCCTCGCCGATGAGAGACTTCCCAGATCCAGAATCCTCTCGGGAGCCAGGTCTCGTCCCGCGGCAGGAGGGAAAGGCAAGTCACTCCTCTCGCCTCGCAGCAAGTGAACAGGTCAGGAGACACTCAGCCCGCCAGAGCTACTTCACCTCGGCCCTCGCAGCTTGAAGGTTCGCTTGCAGGGAACCAGTTCGGGGTTCTGGCCGCGGACTCCAGATGCCATTCTGTTCACAGTAGCCAGCGTCAGCAATCTTAACCACTTCATGCCAGGACATTGCCCGATAATACAGAGGTCAGCAGCACCAATGTGAGCTAGTCAGGAAGCAGCAAAGGCAGCGTCCTAAGGCACGACGGGCAACAGCTCCGAGCTAGCTCACTGGACCCAGTCAGCCCGAACAGCCTAAAGGTAAAGAGGAGGCAAGCTCGGGAACCATGAAGACCACTCCCCTCCTCTCCGTGCCATCTCCTTTGTCCTCCGAGCTCTTGGCCACCCCGATGCTGAATGACTTTAAAATACCTTCGTTGGATAAGTATGACGGGTCATTCGACCCAAATGATCATGTAGACTCCTTCCAATCCCAGATGCACCTAGTTGGGGCTGATGAATCTTGCATGTGTGTTGCTTTCTCTACGACCTTCAAAGGAGTAGCTCGCACATGGTACAGGAACCTCGCGCCCGAGACAATCAAGAGTTGGGCGCAGTTCGTGCATATGTTCACCTCGCACTTCATCACCAGCAAGAAGTGTCCGAGGTCATAAGAAAGCCTCATCAACATAGTCCAGAGGGAAGGGGAGTCGATTCGAAGCTACATCAAACGCTTCAACGACATTTGTTTGCAAATCCCCGACCTGGATCTCACTGTAAGACTCACGGCAGCAAAGAAGTGTATCACCCACAGGGAATTCAAGTGGCACGTAGTGGCAAACAAGCCTAAGGACATCACTGAATTCCTTAAGCTCGCCGATCAGTTCATTGGGACAGAAGAGGAGATGAACCAGAAGACCGAAGCCCCAGTGGAGAAGAGAAAAAGGGAAGATGACAACCCGAACAACGGTGGCGGTAAAAGAAGAAAAAGAAAGTCCCCAACCAGGGGGGAAACAAGACAGGTTAGCATTCTCGAACTCCTCCTGTTGAAAGGACGAACTACACCCCCCTCGACGCGAAGCGGGGAGAAATCCTCATGGTGATCAAGGACGCCTCTTATGTGAAGTGGCCACCTTGGTTGAGGGGAGATCCCGCCACTAGGAATATAAATGTTTACTATCATTTTCATAAAGATCACGGTCATAGCACCGAGAATTGTAGAAATCTCCGCGATGAGATAGAAGAGCTCATCCGTCGTGGATACTTGAAAAAATTTGTACAAAAAGATAATAAAAACCAGACAGATCGACAGGGGGAGCAAAGGAGAGATGCTCCAGAGTCCAGTAGCAGACAGAGTGAGCAGCCTCAGAGACAGCTGCCCGAAGAGAGACCAATCCGCGGGGTAATCAATATGATTACTGGCGGGTCCATTGTCGCAGGCTGCACCTCGGCAGCAGGGAAAGCCTCAGTTCGTGAACTGGAACGTGAAGAGAAGAATCCACCGAAGCGACCTAGACTCGAAGATCCAATATTCTTTACAAAGGATGATGCACGCGGGGTTCAGTATCCCCATGACGATGCCCTAATCATAAAGATGAGGATCAACGACGATGCCCCATGACGGTGCCCTAATCAACGATGCGCGCGGGGTTCAGTATCCTGTTCAAGGACGCATTTGACAAACTCCGGCTCCAGGAAGGTGACCTCAAGCCAACAGATACACCCCTGGTGGGCTTTAGCGGAGAAGAGGTCAGACCACTAGGTCGAGTCTTAGTACCCGTAGAGGTCGGCCTATTACCCACGCACTTCTTGCAATGGTTTCCACCTGCTACCTGACCATGAAGTTCCCTACGGACTACGGAGTAGGGGTAGTGCGAGGCGAGCAACTCGAGTCTCGCAAGTGCTATGTTGCCACTCTCAAGGGGAAAGCCAAGATAGCGGCTGATGTCAAGCTCGAGCGACCTGTGGAGTATCCCGAGGAGCGAGCTACGCCAACTGAAGAGACGGACCACATCCCGGTCTCGAAGGAAGATTTAGCCAGAACTCTCCAGATCGGCGCATCGATCGAGGAACCCCTCCGTTCTTAGCTGGTATGCTTTTTTACTTAAACATTTAGACATATTTACGAGTTACAATAAAACGAGAGGGCTTAAGAAAAGTGGTTGTTCAGATTAAGATTCAAAGTATCGATACGTATCATGCCGGGAGCTTCCCAATACACTCCTATAGGGGTTGTATCGGGTCAGACCATGGTTCAGAGGGTAGTTGGGACTTAAACCGAGCCCTTTGAACCGGTTTTGAAAAAAATAAATAAAACATAAAAAAAGCACTGACACAGGCTGATACGCTTGCGGTCCACGTGCCGGCATGGCCCAGCCCGCAGCCCGATCCAACATGACCCATATATATTATTTATATATATTTATATAATATTATATAAATTATAATTATATAATAATATAGTATAATATATTAATTAAATAAATTTATTTTTTAATTCTATTATACTAATTTATTTAATTATTATATATAAGCAATTTTATACATCAAAATTCATATAAAATTAAAATTTTAAGTTTTTTGTTATTTTTTTAAATAAATAGCTTTGGCCCGATGCATGGCTCGACGTGGCCCAAGGCTCGGCCCATGGGCTAGCCTAGCCCATAGCACAACACAACAAGGCACGGTCCGGGACGACCTGCACTTTGCGTGGGCCGCCCAGGACACCTCTACTCCTAGACATGGCTAAGTGGAATAAAAATGATGAAATCATTTAAGTGTCTTAATTTAGTCATTGTAATCACGAGTAATTTGATTCAAATTTTCACATCCTTAAAATATTTTAGGATTTATTTCAAGATAAATTTAATTTCTAGGTTGGATTTAGATCGATTTGAGTAGGGACCAAGTAAACCCTTAGATCCCTTAGACCTTGAAACCAGCCTAAGTGTTCCAAAATAAAGTAGATGTTTGGCATCGGTGCTATGAACACAACACCGTTTTCTTATGTTTGAGTTGTAAGTACCGTTTTTTCTTATTTTTTGTTTGGAAATGGTGCTGTCACATATGCTGTTTTCAGAGAAAGCAACATTGGTTTTGTTTGATATCAATGCTATAGAACTATTTTCAGCATTAGTCTATATTATCCAATGTTCAAGATGATGCCACATCATTGCATCATTGTTGGCAAAGAGCTGTTTTCTAAAAAAATATTAAATTTGGCATTACCACACTTTCTCGATTTATAAGACATGGTCTGAAACAATATTTTTTTGAAAAAAAAATGATACCAAATAAGAAGCCGTTTTCTAATGCACCGCTTTTTACGTGGTGTCGTTATTCATTTATTCTACCTATCCATTTACTCACTCACTCGTATCTCAAAGCATGTTGAAAGCTGCACATGGGCACTAGACCTGTTCATGGGCCGGGCTTTCACTCAGTATTAACAAATTTTTCTAAGGCCCGAACCCGAGCCCAACCCGACCATCGGGCCTACAACTTGGGCCCAAGCCTGGCCCTCATAAAAAGCCCGAAGCCTGAGCCTGAGCCTGGGCCCGAGCCCGAAATTTAGCCCATACTGTTACTACTGTTGAAGCGTCTGAATAGAGAGAGAGAGAGAGAGAGAGAGAGAGAGAGAAAAGAATAAAAAATGTATATATTAAATTATAAATATATATTTTAATAAATATTATATTATTTATGTATTTTATATATAAAATTTATATAATATATAAAATACATATTATAAATTTTATAAAATATATAATACTGAGCCGGGCTTTTTTGACAAATCCCGAGCCCAGCCCAAAACACAGTCGGACTTACTGTGTTAGGCCCGAGGTCAGGCCCGCGGGCCTAATTACATAACCAAGCCCGACCGGGGTGCGGGCCGGGCCATCGGGCTACCCGGTCCATGAACAGGTCTAATGGCCACATGGGGAACATGAGTCCGGCTTCTATCAGGGCACAGTCCATGCTCGCACCGTTCGTCCGTTGGTTAATGCGTGCGAAATGAATTAAACTCTCGCCAGTCACTCTCATTCTGCTATTCTATTACTTTTCTTTTTTTTGACTCCCGACCCAGTGCAGGTTCGAAACATAAAATATTTTTCTCTTCCTTTAATTGATTCTTTGATTTTTTTTTTTTTCTGGGTATCTGATAAACGAAAAGGAATCAAGAGAACATTTGGTCAAGAAGTAAAACGAGGGCCATTGCAAGACCAAGATTGAAACCGGATCATACGATTAAAAGAAAGACATCGACACCGAAAGAGATTCCTCCTCTTCCTCCTTGCGACATGGCTTCCTTTCTCTTGATCTCTGCCATCACCTTCCTCGACTCATCGAGCACTTGGCACGATCTTTGGCAGTAATAGCCTTCAATCACGTAAACGAATCTGGTGTTGGATGAAGAAGATCATCCTGTAGTGTAAACACATGAATTAGAGCTCAGAAGATTCATGTGTTTCCTTACGCAGATTCCTTGACTTTGAATATAAGCTAATTCTCTACAAATGTCATAAGTTTCTGCTAAACAACAAGAGAACTGAGATCAATTCTTTTATTAATGAAAAAAATTGAGAATTCAGAGAGAGAGACCTTGCGACGCATGGTGAGGAGGGGGGTTGCCTGAGCCGTTCATGAGGAGGATCTGTTCCCTATTACTGTCCATATAATTGTCGATCCTAAAATCCAACAATCTGTCAGAACCGATCACCGTAAACCCATTACAACTGAATAAGAGTGTCTTTCTCCACACGGTTAGCGGATCTACACACACCCTCCCGCTCCTACTTTCCATCACTTCCATCACCCGTATTTCTTACTTCCACGACCTTTGATGTATGACATCTCGACAGAACAATCTTCTCTCTCCTGGGTCCGGCTTCTATTAGGGCAGAGTCCGAAATACCTGAGGTTTTTCTCCGACCGCCGGTATTAACAATCGCCGGTGATAGCTGTTGGTCGCCGCCGGTTGGAGAAGGAGAGAATGAGAGTGACTGGCGAGGGCAGATTCTGGCAAGTCTCAGGAAATGCAATGGAACGAATGGAAAGCTAATGGCGTGAGGGATATTCCGTTTAATTCGTTTCGCACGCATTAAATCAACACACGAATTAAAAGACGCGTGGCACGTTCTTATGCTGCAAGAACGGTGCGAGCATAGACTGTGCCCTGATAGAAGCCGGAAACCGTCAAGACCACTCTGTATAGAGGAAATCTACATTCGCAGCATACGTTCTTTTTCCGAACTCCCAAGAATCGTGTTAACTATGACTAACGACTAACGAGGGTTCTAGGCCCCAAGGACCCAAGCCCCAACCTGCGGCATTGTGTCACGACGGGGGCCAATCCGACTGGCGCCAAATATTTGACGCGCTGGGCGAGCCGCAAATATTTACAAAACCGGTCTGCTTCTGATCCTCCGGTTCGACCAAGTTTTTAAGACCAACCAACTGAACTACCCGCTCTCGTGTTTGGGGCTTTTGGCTTCGTTGCTCCAAACCAAACCGCGAGTCCGTGTGACATCGAATGAGGAATTCAGCAGCCGAGTCTGAATGTGATCATGATCGAGATTATAAATCTTGACACGTCGTATCTGCAAATCAAACGGTTTGTAGAGGTGGGTCATTACATTGTATTAAATGCAGTATCACGAGATTATTGCCATACTTATCAGACAAACAAAGCGAGACCTGAGAAACCGGTACAAGCTTAATCCCTCTCGCCCGGCTGTCTGCCTGCCCCTGCGTGTGTATCGGGCTATCTCAGAATGGCCACGAGATCTTTGTGGCGCTCCCGAGTGAAGCTAGCGCTGGCCTTCACCGCCTTCGGTGGCGGGGCTGCTGCGGCGGCGATCTCAACCTCCGACGATCCCTCAACCACCTTGAAGCTTTGTACCGTTGTTCCCCTTCGCCTCGTTCGCGATTCATTTACCGCTGCCACCATGGCATTCGGTTTGCCTCTCCCTCTGAATTCTTTTTTGTCTATTTGATTTCTATGGTTTCTATCTCAAGATCAGGGTTAGATTTCCGAACTTGCCCGTTTAGTTGAGCTTTATATGTTTAGGGTTTAACTAAGGTATTCAGACAGAGAACTTGGACGCTAGTTCATCACAAAATGGTGAAATTGTATTTACACGGGTACAAAATTGAGTAGGTTTGAAATATTAGGAGCATGTGAATGTTTGTATAGCTATTTTGAATTTATGATTGTCCGAATTAGTTGACGCTCGTCTTAGGAGTACCTACTCATGCTTACACCATTAATGGTCGGTGTAACAGCCCGCAGGATCACCAGCACAAGGATCCTGAAGAACATCCAGATCCAATGGTGAGGACCATTAAGAGGGCATATTACTAGTAGGACAATTACATTTTTCTTATTGCATTACAAACACTGAACAATTAAACATTTTCGCTGGAAAATGCATAATACATCGTTCCTTTAATTGGAGGTGATAATACCGAAAGAATAGTAACTCTGGATAAATTTAGTTGATGCTAGTATAGACTATAGAGGACGTATATTTTATAAACCATGTCATCAGCACAACGATGGATGATGGATTGGTCCAATAAACATGTCTGTTCTGTTATATAAGGAGGTGTCAATCTCAATCAAGGTTCATAGAGTGACTTATGAGTTACAATCGAAGAATTGTGTGTCCACTAGGGGTTGTATCGGGTTCAGATCAAGGTTGTGTGTCCACCTTGATCCTGAGGTGTCAAGGTTATATGGATATTTAGAAAGTTATTCTGAGCCTACAGATTTTACCTTCACCTCAAAAAGTGAGTGCCTTGATCCTAAACTGTTCTTTATACATCACATACTTACATTAGAAAGTTGCTTTTGTCTAGTCAGAACCTTTTGTTGTTCTTGATATATTTGGTACTTTAGAGAGTATACATTTCCAGTATTTTTTATGTTGCTTTATGTTTAGACAGGCAATTAAAGTCAGAGTTTTCTTTCTGGTGTTTTCTGAGTGTAGATTATACCCATGCTTTTGCGTCTCGATTTAAATTTCTTCTCTCTGTTGTCAGATTATGAGTACTCGCTGTGGGGGCTTCCAGAGGGAAGTGTTGAGAGGTCAAGAGCCAAACATGAAGTCCACACTAGATGTGCACGTAGGCTTCAAGAATTGTGTTTCAGGAATGGAGGAATTTATATCAAGCTTGGTCAACACATTGGTCAGCTGGTATGCTTTTAATATTCTTTTTTATAATAGCTAAAGGGAAATTTCAATGCTATCTTTATTTCTCAAATTAGATTTAACTAGGCTGCCTATGTTGGTATTATATGATAAAGTAAATTGCCCTTGTTGGATTTTAAGAATCATTATGGGCTAAATATTTTGTGGTATCATTAGAGTTGATATACAGTAGAATGCTATATTATCTAGTAAAAATGTAAATGTTCAATCAATCTATTTTCATTTACTTTTAGATGAAAAGGTAATCCTCGTCTTTGGGCTCCAAATGTCATATTTTCTCCTTGCAGGAGTACTTAGTTCCTGAAGAATATGTTCAGACAATGAGGGCTTCCATGTTGAATAGGTGTCCAGTTTCTTCATATGATCAAGTATGCGAAGTGTTCAAGAAGGAACTTGGAGGGATGCCAGATGAAGTATGCCTCTACCTTTCATTTTCTTGTGTCAAGATTCTCCGTTATGAATATTCTGAATATATGCGAATCATTTGGTTCAGTTGGAATATTGAGGTTAATTCTTGATATTACAGTACTTACAAACACTTATTTGGTGTATAGATTTTTGATGAATTTGACCCTGTCCCTCTAGCAAGTGCTTCCCTTGCACAAGTTCATGCTGCTTGCACGCATGATGGCAAAAAAGTTGCTGTTAAGGTTGTTATTGCGATTTTTACTTCCTTTCCCCTTCATTTTTCTAGTAATATACAATCATAACATCATATTGAATGTTGCAACTTTCTGGTTTGAAGAATAAATTTTTCTTAAGTGAGTTCTCCATCCATGTTCCATTCATACTATCATGTACAGGTACAACACACTCACATGACAGATACTGCGGCTGCAGATTATGCCACTGTAGAGTTGATAGTGAATACCCTGCATTGGCTTTTCCCGACATTTGATTATAGGTAATTTTGGATAATCTTTTTATTTATTTATTTATTATTGGTGTAATTATCAAGAAAACTGTGGGTCTCCATCTGTGTTTTGCACATAGCTACCTATCATATGTTTGTGGGTTGTTTATAATTTATAACACCCCTGATTAATTGAAAGGCTTTGAAATTCAATTGTAGGTGGTTGGTTGCTGAAATGCGTGAAAGCTTACCGAAGGCAAGTCTTCAATATCTTTGATTACAACATCAATACAAAAAAAAAAGGAAAATCTTTTGATTTTTGTTGCTTCAGTACTAGATAATATAGGGGGGGGGTGTTCAGTACTATGGCCATGAAATGTGTGGTGCATTCCATACTACTGGGCCCCGTTCTGGTGTGTTTGAAATGGTAGGTTATGGATCTCAGAACCTGTTCTGTACCATGGTGGTGTGGTGTATTCCAAAGCATTGGGATTTAAAATATAAATATTTTTTGTGAAAATAAACTAAGTTAATGTTTATTGAGTGTCCCAAGGTGTGGTGTGTTCTGGAACATGAGATTTTGGTGTGTTCCAAAATCTATGATATTTTGTATTCCATAACCAGCCCATTTTAGAACATGTCATGAACTTAAAAGAACAGAACCGAATGGAATGAGCATCTACCACAGTACCAAACAACCCCTATAGTTAACCCAATTCTGACTACTCTTGGTCTTTTGAGTGGTGTTCATCAAAGCATGGTAAAATTTTTAATGATTATTTACATGCACATATTATTTTAATTCCGTCTATTGCTGTTTTCTATAATTTGTTATTTATGCAAAGGGGAAAAATAGAGAACAAAATAGTCATGTGACTTTAACATTAGAATGCTAACAAGCAATGCTAGGGTCCATTGTGTGACCTAATTACTGCTAAATGACATGGTGGAATCCATTGAAAAGTATGCCAAAGTTGTCTTGTAGTGTTATTTTCATAGGGCTTCGTATCTTTAAGCATTATTGAAGTTGGGTGATGCACCCTGGCATGCAAACAGATTTCCCCTATTATCAAATCCGAAGTATGCACTGGTGTTATCAACTAGACATCTCTCTTGATAGTTTAATATGCATCCACGCATTCTGTATAAATATATACACTGTCGAAAGAGTGTAAGAACATGGATATTCTTTTTGATTAGTTGCAATTGTGGCTCTCAGGAATTGGATTTCTTGGTTGAGGCCAAGAACAGTGAGAAATGTTTGGATAATTTTAGGAGGTTATCTCCACATCTTGCAGACCAAGTACATGCACCAATGGTTTATTGGAACTTGAGTACCTCAAAATTGTTGACTATGGAATTCATAGATGGTGCAGAAATAAATGATGTCAATACAATTCAAAGGCTTGGAATTCGACCAAGTGAAGTTGCAAAACTAGTAAGTCTGTTACTTCATACCAAATAATTTTGCTTATTGGACTACTTGTATCAAGATAAATGTGTTTCTAGCCTTACCTATTTACTAGTTGATCCATTGACTGGTGAATTGGCTCCTCACAAACCAAGTCACAAGTTGGTTCGTATAGGTTTGAAATATCTGTTGTGTTCTATGGCTTCAAAACTTGAAACAAGGTCCACCAGAAGCTATATCGATCATGTCCTCTATGTATAGATAAGAAGTGAAGATTCCAAATATATATATAACCCTGCCCTTAACTAGCTAGGTTTTTGCAAACTGCAAACCCATGTTCGAATTAGATGAACCACCAAATCAATTAACTATGGTTTAGCCAGCCATTTCATAGTTCTATTCTCACTCAAGGATCCACTAGGTAAAAAAGGTATTCAATCAGTAGTACTCCTAACCATCTTATCTGTAATTTATTTGCTAGTTCACTTGACATTTTGTGCTGACTGTCACAAAAATTACATTATACATGGGGATGGATGATCCAGTAAGGTCAAATTTTGTCCTAAAAATGTTAGAAAGATCATTGATGTTGGGTCTTATGGGGGAGGGAAAAGTTTCCTGCATGTGTGTCATGGAGATGGGACTGATAGGTTGGATCCATGGATGCCATCACATATAAATTCTGTTTTGTTTTGTCTTTTGAGAATGTGTAAAGCAGGTCACTAAGTGCTAATTTTAAAGTTTGCAGGTTAGCCAAGTCTTTGCGGAAATGATTTTCAAGCATGGGTTTGTACATTGTGATCCGCATGCTGCCAACTTGCTGGTTCGCCCTTTGCCGTCTGGCAAGAGGAGCATTTTAGGTAAGATTGATTTTTATGTTGGCATAACCAATTAAATCCCCACTGTAACAGTTATTTTAATTGTTTCAGCATTTATTTATTAGCCTCTCTGATATTGATTTTCTCTCTCATCAAGGTAGCTATAAAGTGAATTCTTCCCAGAATATTTCTGCTCCATATTTTTACACCATAGAAATGCCTTATATTGTCAGTGATTTTCAAAGATTCATTAGTGATAAACTGATAATAATTAATATAGGAGAAAGTACAATTGTCTAGCCAACTTGGAAGCTAAGGAGATAAACCCAAAGAAGCCTCTCAATAGGGAATGACATGTAAAGTCAATACAAAATAATGAAATAGCGCGATCTATCACCCCAACATATTGCCTTCCACATATGGTCTGGAGATGTTCCTTCAATTTCCATGTACTCAATCTCCATGACAACCATGGAGAAACAACTCTGGAAGAAAGGAAAGCATTTATGGAGAAACAACTTTCCATTCCTTCCAGACCCTCCTTTTTGGTAGACATGAAGTTGTCTACGTGCTCCTAGATCACATGATCCTCTTTGCCTGCTCATACATCAATACGATCAATATAGAGTTATAGACTATGCCATTCCCTAATGTTGTACTGTACTTGTAGATCTGTATATAGACTTGAAATATTTTTGGTATGTTGATTATCATAGCCATTTCCATCACCTTTATCTAAACTACATGTGAATTTGAGCCCTGTTTGACACCAAATTAATAAAACCCATCTGAATCCCTTTGGGCCTTTAGGGATTAAAAATATGTTTTGACTACCCTTTTTTTATCACCCCAGGTTTTTGAAATATGAAAGGTGAAACATCTTTTAATTGTAAAATCATGAACATGTTAGAAACTCCTCCTTTTTGGTGTTGTCTTTTCTCTTATTAGTTAATCTGTTGTTAGTCATGGTCATTGGTATCTATCTGATGGTTTCTCTATCATCTCCAATTCTCCATAAAGCAAAAGTGGATTGAACCATCATTGTTTGGATTGAAACAATTTTAAGGTAATTCAAAATATCAAAATATCATAGATACATACAGAGAATGGTTGATCTGTTGGGTAACTACCATATCCAAGATTTCTCATTCTTGAAAGAAACAACAATGACAACTAGCTCAGTTAATTTCATTCCTATCAATTTATACTTGCTTCTCATATGCAGGCAAGAGAAAGCCACAGTTGGTACTGCTTGACCATGGTTTATACAAAGAGCTTGATTTTCCTACTAGAACCAACTATGCTGCACTCTGGAAGGTATTGCATTGTCCTTCCTGAACCCATGCTAAAAAGAGAACTGTTTCTGACTTTTTGACATTTCCTTTCTTTGTCTTGTAACACTTTTTTCAGGCATTGATATTTGCTGATGCTAATGCAATAAAGGAAAATAGTGTGAAATTGGGTGCTGGAGAGGACCTCTGTGCGTTGTTTGCAGGGATTCTTACAATGAGACCCTGGAATAGGGTCATTGACCCAGCTGTTGACCATCTGGTTCTACAAGGAAGTGATAGTGATCGTTCAGAACTGCAGGTTATTCTCCAACTTTTTCTCATTGTTAAACGACTCCCCCCTCCCTCCAATGTTGGTGAAAGTGAAATGCCAAAAGACACCATCCAGGCTGACATTGTACCAATAATTATTTGCATTGGAAAAACTAGCTCAGTAATTGTATTCATACAGTATGTGATTTTGGATTGTATTCATTAATTTTTTCTTCTTTTTTATTTATTTCCTGCATTTTATGATCGTGGTTCGTGTTACAAGTGGGGTTAATGTTCTCATTGCAGTAATTTGGGCCAAAGTAGACAGATTTTCTACCATTGTAATATGCAGTTTATTTTCTCTCTTTCTTGGCAGATGTATGCTTCTCAGTATTTCCCCCAGATCTCAGAACTTCTAAGGAGATTGCCCCGTGTAATTCTGTTAATGCTGAAGACCAATGATTGTCTAAGAGCAGTCAATAATTCTCTGGTATTGCCATCTTTTCCTTTTCAGTAAATGCTATTTGTTGAAAATATCACATTATTCTATGTTGCTCCTCAGAGTTGTTTGACATAATATTTGGTAATGATGTTATAGGAGTGTCCCTTTTTCGATAAGCAACATAAATTTCATTAATTAATGAGAAAATGGAGTGAGTACAAAGGCTGGAAAAGTTCAGTCATCCAAACTATAGGAGTGCTCCCTTGGCCACATAATAATGTTTTGAAGCATAGACAACGCAACTTTTGTTTTTTTTTTTTTAATCTATCTATCTAAATAATTTCTAATGCAAAAAATTCTTTGGTATTAGATTTGATTGCATAGAAAATGAATCAAAGAAAATAAGAGGAAAGAAAAACAAAACACATGAAGAAAATATTTTCTTTGTAATAAAGATTCTTTGATTGCTTAGAAAACAAGTATTTTTTTTAATTTTATAAATTAAATTTTTTGATCAGTAATTAAAAAAAATTTTCTCTTTCCTACAACTTCTTTTGACCTCCTCAATCCTTCCATGCTGATTCACCTCCCCCAACTTTTTGACATACGTAAAAAAAATCCAATTCTATCCCTGAACCCTTCCACCTCTTCATCTTCAAATTCTCTCTCTCTGTGCACCATCCTTATTAAGTAATCAATGATGAGCATGACCAATTCTTACCAACTGATGGTGGCTTAGCTTTTAAAGGAGTCCATAGCTTTTGCCAGCAAAGTATAGATTACAACTGTCAAAATATGATCTAAGTTGAGAACCTACATGAGAATGTCATGCAAAGCGCTAAGTTAGTAGTTCAATTCCTGGGTTTGTCAGTGATATCCTTGAGAGGAACAGGCTTGGAGGTACCATATCCTAGTGTCAGTTATGAGCATGTCATACAAACCTCCTTAGGAGTTGACTCTGTGTGTGTGTGCACCCGAGAATCCCATGGAAAAGGAAATCAGAAACAGAGGACAACCAAAAGATTTGGGGAATAGTATTCAAGGGAATTCTCCACCAAGTAACGGGCAAAAGTTTGACTACTTAGTCCATAATCCAAAATTTTCATTGGATATTTAATAGGCTGTCGTGCTTCATTGCAATTGGTCTTGTTTCTTTTTCCATTGTCACATTTCATTCGTATGTCTAATAATAATTGTAACATTTGAATCTGATATTTATTGCCATCTATGGGCTAAATTGTAGACATACATCCTGCAGGTGCACAATGAATATTTCTTGACTATGTGACCTGTTGGTGAAAAATGAACCAAATTATTGTATAATAACCATCAAGTTGTTGCATTCTTTCATTAGATAAAAAACATTGGTGATTGGAAGAGAATATAAGTGGATAGATCAATTAAGGTTATCTGAAGAAATTCGTCTTGGCCTTCAAAAATTTCCTTGGTAGGAACCATCAGATTGACATATGGTGGTAGTTGGTGTGTTGATTTAGATTTTCTGATAAGCTTTCAACATTCCCTCATCTCAACTATGTATGTTTTATGCACTACTGATATCCTGCAGTAAGTACTACCTAAGATTTTTAGGTTGGAGTTCATTGGACATGGCTATATATATTTTTTTAATAAAGTTGTGTGCCTTAGAATGGTAAGAAATGCCTTGGTTCGCATGGCAAAATGAAAATCTGGGCTGAACCATTTTCCCCTGACACGGCTTCATCGACAGTTGCAGGGATCTAGCCTAGAGACGTTCTTGATCATTGGAAGAGTTTCTTCAGATGCAGTCACTGAGGCGAAGTTGTTGCAAAAGAAATCCTTCTTGTCAGGGCTATGCATATGGTTGGAAGAGGTGTTGGTGGAAGCTCGACTTCTTACCATGCAGATAGCCTTGTGGCTTTTACAGTTGAGGAAGGCTTTGACTTGGTGAAATTTAATACCACAGTGACCCTTCTGCTTTTGATTCTTCACCAGATTCATGGTTAGTGATTATGACATACAGGTTGGTTCGTTGGAGCCCAGGTTTGTTTTATCAAAATTGACAGGCTTTAACAGTTTTGAAAGGCGAATATTTTTACAGACCAATTTTTGTTCTTCACTCACAATTTTTTTGTCCGCACAGCATGATGCTTCAAGCCAGTCTGCAGGCTGTGTGAGCTCAGATTTACATGTTGGTTATTTTCCCTTATTTGTCACAGCAAATAATGTTTTATTTATTTTATTGTATTTGTCTTAAAAGGCAAAAAATGATGCCATGTTGTATAACCCCATGGATGGGGCCAAAGAATATATACTGTGGAATTTATTAAGAATTCTTTGATGATTTACAAACATTTAGATTAAAAGTTGTTTCTGCAGAGTGCAGATGCAAGAGGCAAAGCTTCGAATGCTAATGATTCATTTACGGTTTCCAATTGGACTTTATTCCAGAGCATGACTACACCTACACGAATACGCGGATACGAGAGCACTCACTTTGTGAAAATAAAAAGGCCAAAAGTTGTTCTCCACCCCTCCTAAGACCTCAGATAGCTGGGGGAGCCTGGGGCAAGCGTTAGGTAATGAGGAAATTTTTGAGACTAGCCTCTCCAATCAGGAAGATCGTCTCATATCATATGGAGGTTCTGTAAATCAGGTTTATATGCAGTGTATCTTGGTTACCGTTCCTTAAGTTTGAGTAGGTTACCAAAAAAGAGTTAACAGGAAAGAAGAGACAAAATTCTTCCTAGTAGAGTTTTCCAAAGAGCTGCAGCAACATACTTTGGGAGATTAAAGGTGGTGTGAAGATTCAGAATTTGACTAGGATAGTTGCTCGAGCTAGAAGCTGTTGTAGGATAGTTGCTCGAGCTAGAAGCTATACGCACCAAACACTTCTCTGAACCAAACAGGTCAAGTGAATAGTTTATTCCAATCCAGCCAATTCTGATTCTGGTTCTGATTCCAATTCCAGTCTGAACAAAACAGGTGAGAGGAATAGACAATTCATTCCAGTTTTGGTTGAGCTTAAATTTCTTGGCAAGCCTCTTATATGGGCAATCTTAAGCTCAGTTTGGAAAGAGTACAAATACAAATATGTATTTATATTTATAATCTTTACAAATATAAATATGTACAATACAAATACATATAAAATACAAGGTTTTGCACTCTACATATTTATATTTGTTTCCGTGCCAAGCTGGTAGAACACGTTTCTATGCAGAGAAGCTAGAAGCTATTCCTTTGAGCCTGATCATACCAGGCCAGAGCCAGATATCAGATGCCTAAAACTGAAAGATCTTCTCATCTATCATTATTTCCCACGATTGGCAGAAACTAAGTTGTGAATATGGTGTATTTTTTTTTAGCTATTGGATTCAAGAGTTGGCTATTCTGCCATCCTGGAAGTTGGAAAAGGTCATATCTTTAAGAGATGCATTGAGAATATGTTACAAAAATTTAAATATATCATAAAAAACATCAATAGCATTAAATATATGAGAAGTACGGATACACCCAATGCAGATTTTTTGATTCTCACTGCATAGCTATAAACATTCAAAACGTCCAAATATCACACTCTATGCACCCGTATCCACCCATGAATTGGCATCAATTTTAAGCTGACACCTACCCCAAATGTACTTTGAACCTACAAATTCTGACATTAGAAGTATCAGTCATTCTCCCTTAAATATATGTATTAAACGAGGAATATATACACATACAGCCCCGTGACAAATTTAAATAGAAGGGCAGTATAGTAAATTTCAAATAAAACCATTCATGGATTTTATGCATTCAAAACCTTTACAACCAAACAGCAGATAAATCTTTATTCATGAACATGCTAGCTTGGATAGCTACAGCCTTGTATTACATTTGGCATGCCAGAAATGAAAAAGTTTTCAGAAATAAGTTAATCCAGCCGATTAATCTGCTCCATAGAATTAATCATTCTATCATCCACCCTAGTTGTCCCCCGGATAACACTGGTGCCTCAACAGTAAGAAACACAATAGATAAATTTTCAGTCATCAGCAACCATACTACGGACCTCATTGTGTTTTCTGCAGGCAAAATCTCAAACTCGTTATATACTTATGGGTTCATTATTCTGTCTAAAAATCTTTCCTGTTTGAAAAGTATTGGTGGCAGAATTGACTAAGTCTTCTCAGTAATTCAAGCTGAGATTTATGCTATTATGCAGGTCTTACTGCAACTTACAAGCTGGAGTTGTCATGAAGTTTGTATATATGCGGATGCTAAACAAGTGGTGCAAGCACTTCAACAAAAAGCAGATCTTTAACTTTAAATTTTCGAAGTGTAAACTTCTTTTTTGTAAATCGTGTATATAATAGTACAGCCCACAAAGTATTCCAAATAACTAAATTCCACTGCTTGTCGTCTTTTGTTTTTCATGATTATCAAGATGGGATACCAAGGGTTGAAGACCTTATTTCTTTATCGCTTTCTTAATATAGTGTAATAGTGTGTATCTTTCAAAAAGAAAATCATATGTAATTACAATTTCACATCAAAATAAAGCGAAGTTTCAGTAGAAAGGTATCGTACCGTTAATACCATGGCCTTTGCAAATCATGGTAAGCGAGCGAAAATATTTCCACGAAAAGCAAAGTAAAACGGCCGAAATTCCGGATTGCTAAAATATCAGAAACTGGAAACTTTAGAAATTCGGCATCAGTTACAAAATTGTTTGTTTTTTTTCTTGTCGTTCCCGCACGGGCACCTCCTTGTCGCACTGAAGACTCTCTGGAATATGAAGGTAAACGGCAATTCGAGATTGGGGAAGAGGGGTTTCTAATTTGTAATATTTGTGGTTTGCGTCTTCTCCTCAACCTGAACTACGGCATTAGCCTGTAGATTTGGCAACTAGCTTCACTCTGTTAGATCCGGCGACCAGCCTGTAGATCTGACGACCGGCTGTAGATTCCAGCACCAGATTGTAGATCTGGCGACCAACCGGTAGAAAAATCATATTCCGTCAACGGAAGGTAGATTCGTCACCGGCTTGTAGTTCCTGGCGACCAGCCTAAGGGCCGGCGTTTTATCTTGTGTCGTGGATCATCGAGCAGGGACCGTCTAGATAGACCCCGCGACCAGCCTATCTTGTGCCGATGGAATGCCTACCTTTGTTCGATGGAAATCCTGTATGCTCACAGAACCACCCTGATATTCGATAAAAATACTGTGAGTGTTTGGGTTATCTTGCTTTAGTTGCAGCCATTTGTTTTTTGTATTAAGCATCGCAGCCATCTCAGTTTAGTAGTGGAGATTACAAGTAGCAAGTTGAATGTTAATATTATTAAGATATTGGAATGGAAGTGAGGAGTGGGGGTGGGAAAGAGGAAAAAAAGGAAGCAATAGAACCCGGATATAATTTTCTGTTCAGAAACAAAACTAAATGAAGAACAAGGATACAAATTTGTGGAACAACATCAATATGATGAAAGAATAACCATGCCGCCTCAGGGTACTAGAGAAGGATTGCTTTGTACTTGGAAGGATGGGATTGATATTGAAGTTAAGGAGGTGACTATGAGTTGCATAGAACTGATTATTAAAAATCACCCTACATCAGTTGATTGGCAGTTACCATTTATTTATGGCCCTCATATTAAAAATGAAAGGAAAAAAATTTTGGGAGCACATAATATCAACTAGCAACATTAATAGGCTTCCATGGTTATTGATGGGGGGATTTCAATGACTTACAAAAAAAAAAAAGAATTGAAAATATCAAAAGAATTGGAAGAGCTGAAGCAAAAGTTAATGAATTTGAGATTTATAGGCCCGAATTTTACTTGGTCCAATAAACAAAGTGAATAAAACTCAGGAATCTGTGGCTGAGAAATGAAGAACAACTATAGAGACAGAAACCGAGGGAGCTGTGGTTGAGAGAATGCAACAAAAATACCAATTTTTTCATAATATGGTAAATCTAAGAAGGAAATGGAACAGTATTAAATGGTTGAAAGGAGAGCATGAGACTAAATTAACAAGTCATGAAGAAATTAGAGAAAAACTGCAAAAGGAATTCTCAAAGGCCAATGAAGTTGAGGAACAGGTATTAGACTCTGACTGGAGGAAGGTAGAATTTTCCAAAGTTGAACCGAGTAAAGAAGACGAGTTATGGGGAGTACTAAAAGAAGAAGAAATTGGAGNGAAGGTAGAATTTTCCAAAGTTGAACCGAGTAAAGAAGACGAGTTATGGGGAGTACTAAAAGAAGAAGAAATTGGAGTAGTAGTATTCCAAATGAATCTTAATAAAGCTTCGGGTTCAAATGGATTTACTACTTACTTTTTTGAAAAATATTGGGAAGTGGTGAAAGATGAGGTGGTAAAATACTTTGGCTAATCAACTACAAGAATTTCTCTTAGAAATTATTGCACCAAATCAGTCAGGATTTATTAAAAGAAGGAAATAGTAGACAACATAATCCTTGCTAGAGAAATTGTTCATACAATGAGAACACAATAAGGCAAAACTGATGGTTGGCAATAAAATTGGATCTGTCTAAGGCATATGATAGGATGAGTTGGTAGTTTCTTCACAAGGTAATGGAGCAGATGAACTTCTTACCATAGTGGAGAGAATTAATTAGTCACTGTACAACATCTTTCTAAGTTATCTTAAATGGTACTTAAACCAGATGGTTTAAAACAAAAAGAGGATTGAGACAGGGAGATCCAATCTCATATATTTTCATTACAGGGTTATAGATTTTTTCATCTCTTCAACAAGAGGAAGGAAAAAAAGAATATACAAGGAATCAAAATTGCTAGACATGCTCCAGTTATCACATCATCTTTTGCAAAGCTGAAATGAACCAAATCAGGAAATTAAGGGAGGTTTTATAAACTTTTAGCCAAGTTTTAGGTCAAAGCATAAATTACCAGAAATCTGCAGTGCTTTTTAGCAAAAATTTCCCAAGAAAACATCAGATATAAGACAATGTTTACAGTTAAAGCAGATGGATTACAATGATAAATATGTGGGTGCAAAATTATGGTTTGGGAAGAGGAGAACTTAAGTGCTCAATGAGGTGTTAGAGAGAGAGTCAAAGGTAGGATCGAACCGTGGCAAGCAAAATCTCTATTGCAAGCAAGAAGAACAAATTTTATACAATTAATTGCCCAAACAATTCCTATTTATCAAATGAATTCCACTCTCATTCCAAGAAAAATAATTAACAATTTGGAGGAGATAAGCAAATTTTTGGTGGAGTGGAAAAGGTGGGAAATGAAGACAATAGCTTGAGCAAAAATGGTGAGGCCTAAGAAGGAGGGAGGTCTTGATTTTAAAAAAAGAAGGAAAATGGAATCGGGCTTTGTTGCTGAAACATTTGTGGAGACTGATGAGTAAAAAAGATGCTTTGTGGGCAAAGGTGTTAAGGGTAAAATACTTAAAAGGAACATACATATTTGAAGATTTGAAGCACAACCAGCCAGTGGTCAATCTCTATGGTGGAGATAGATTTTGAGAGTAAAAGAGAAAGTAAAGCACAATTTCATTTGGAAGTTATGTGATGGAAGGGAAATATGGGCTTTTGAATATCCTTGGGTTCCAATGTTAGATGATGGAATCCCGAAGGG